CTGCCTCTAAGGTGGTAGAGGTAGAAACCTTTGTAACATTCAAGGAGTATTTAGATTTGCACTTGCAATACCAAGGCATGTAATGCTAACAGCCGAGTGCTTGAAAATGAGATTAGAGTAGTTAGGTGCCTGTTTTTGACAGGTATAGACTTAATGGGCTGAAGGGTCTTTTTCTGTCCTTTAGACATCAATAACATAACACAACAGTCAATTCCCTCGAAGGGAATTAAGGTCTGCGATTTTTGACCATTTCAATTTGTTTTGCTACTCTCTGACAAAATTTAACTATTTCATATTCTCCCACATCCTATTTCATTTGCCAGATTTTTGCCCACTCAGCTAAATGACCCATATTCCTTTGTAGCCTCCTCATGTCCTCTTTATAGCCTATTTTCTTGCTGAAGTGAAAGTTGCCTTTGTCCCAAGGAACTATAGGCACCTCTCTGATTAGAGAGACAGCTTTTGGGGACTTTAACCTGAGGGTTGTCATGTCTCAGACAAAGGTCACCAGTGTAGGAATTCAACCCACACTCCAGCAAATGAGCTTACTTACCCAACTTTGTTTAATCAGCAAAATTAGCCACCGTAGTTTTGAATCATGTATGTAAGCTGTCAAGAAAAGGTTTAGCCCCAGTACTGATCCTGGTTGAACACTACCAACTACATCTTACCAACCAGAAAATTTATGTCTCGTTGTTTGCTGTTGGCTAACTAATCCGTTGCCGATGGAACATATTCCAATAGCAAAATGGTGAAATTTTGAATCCATTAAAAGTCGGGAATTAAAACATAGCTGAAGGGTGACCACGTTAATTTTTTTTTTCAAATCTCGTTCACTAATTTCCTTCAGGGAAGGAAATCTGCCATCCTAACCTGGTTTGGTCTGCATGTGATTCCAGACCCCAATGTGATTGACTCTTAACTCCTCTGAAACGGGCTAGCAGACCATTCAGTTCAAGGACGATTAAGGATGAGCAGTAAATGTTGGCCCAGCCCACGTCCCTTGGTGAATAAAAAAAATTACTATTGCATGCATTCAGAAAAAGGCTACAGTCTTTTTAGATACAAGACACATATTGAACATATTTAGGCACTTTTTAAACAAATTGTAGGGGCTTTATGAATGGGTGAGAATGGGACTCATGATGGCACTATTTTAATGAATCTGAATAATTTTTAATACATTTTAATTAAAGGTGGATCTCTGGCAGCAATTTTCTTTCTTTCTTATGGTTATTATTCATTTATTTATTTACACATTTGTGTACGATGATTCATTCATCCAAAAAAGTGACTGAAATGATTTCAGGGATACAAACCATTTTAAAGAGATATTAATAGGTTAGATAAATGGGCATAGATTTGGCAAATGGAGCATCGTGCAAAAATATGACGTTGTTTGGTTTGCAAGTGAGACCAAAACACTATTACTTAAATGTAGAACAACTGCAGAAAGCTGCAACACAAAGGAACTTGTGGGTATTTGTACACAAAACACAGAAGGCTAGCACACAGGTGCAGCTGGTAATCAGGATGACTAATGAAATGTTGGTCCTTATTTCAACGGGGTTACAGTATAAAAGTAAGGAAGTCTTATAGCAACTATTCTAATAAAGAAACAGGATGGGACCATCAAATCCTATGAAATGTAGATATCAAGTGATATACAGCATTGGATTAAGAGAAAAAGGGAGACCCTTGGCAGATACCGAGGTCTCAACACCAGAAACCTGAGAGAAAAGAATGTGCAAGAGGGAAATTAAAAGGGGCATTGAGGACGAAAAGGGGAGATGAAAGGATACCGGTAGGTAAAAGAAAATAAATTCCTAAGTTTTTTTTTATATCACGGGTACACAAAGAGTAAAAGTATAATGACGGAAAGAGTAGGGACAATTAAGGACCACAGTGGTAATTTGTACATGTAGCCAGAGGATGTAGCTAGGGTTCTAAATGAATACTGTGGGCTGGTATTCACTAGTGAGAGGGATGATGTGGGTATAGAAATTAGGGAGAAGGACTGCAATACAATTAAAGAAGGTAGCACAGCTAGAGACGAGGTTCTTTAGCGTTCTGTCAGAATTGAAAGTAAATAACCTCCAGGGCCAGATGACGTGTAACCCATTTTAAGTGAGGAATGAAGGAAGTAGGGTGCTTACAGTGGTTTATATAAATGATTTAGTCTTGAATGTAGAAGGGTTGATCAATACATTTATAGATTGCAAAAATTTGATAGGATGGTAATTAGTAAGGAGGAAAGCTTTAGACTACAAGAGGATATAGAGAGGCTGGTTAACTGGGCTGATCGGTGGCAAATGGAATTCAACTTGGATAAATGTGAAGTGTTGCCAAAAATGGCAAGGTAATACATGATGAATAGTAGGGCTGTGGGAAGCAATGAGGATCAGAGTTTGCGCGTATGCTAGTCCATCAACGTATCAGGGTAGGTGGATGAAGTGCTAAGTGTAGCATGTGGTATATTTGCCTTAGTTAGTCAAGGCACACAGTTTAAGAGCAGAGAAGTGATGCTAGAACTGTATAAAACATTGTTGAGGCCACAACTAGAGCATTGTGTGCAATTGTGCAATCTGCATGTTATAGCACTGGAGAGGCTGCAGAGATGTACCAGGATGTTGCCTGGGCTGGAGAGTATCAATTATGAAGAGAGATTGATCAGACTGCAGTTGTTTTCCTTTAGAGCAGAGGAGATTGAGAAGGGATGTAATGGAGATGCATAAAATTGAGGGGTACAGAGAGGGTAGATAGGAAGGAACTTCCCCTCCTTTTATGGAGGAGTTAATAGCTAGGTTGCATAGATATAGAGATGTGAGGAAAATATTTTCACCCAGAGAGTGGTGACACGCTGAAGCCTGTAAGGATGGTCGAGGCAGCCTCATACAACATTTAAGAAGTATTTAGATGTGCAGTTGTGATGCCAAGGCAAACAAGACTATGGGCCAATTGCTGAAAATTGGGACTTGAATGGTTGGGTGGTGGTTTTTGACTGGCCTGAACGTGATAGGTCGAAGGCTATTTCTCTGTGCTATAAATCTCTGACTCTAGGTGTTGAAGAGACCACATCTGGAGTACTATGAACAGTTTTGGCACCCTTAATTTAGGAAAAATATCATTTCACTGGAGGCAGTTCATACAAGGCTTACTAGGATGATCCCCAGCGTGGATGAGTTGTCTTATGAGCAAAGACTAAATAGGTTGGTGCTCCACTCCCTGGAGTTGACAAGAATGAGGGTTGATCTCGTTAAAAAATATATTTAGTAAAGGAGTTTGACAGGGTAAATATTGAGAGGATGATTCCCTTGTTGGAGAGCCTAGCACCAGAGGGCATGGTCTCAGAATAAATAGGTATCAATTTAAGACTGAGTTGAGGAGAAATTTCTTCTCTGAGGGTTGTGAGAGTCTTTGGGACTCCTTGCCACAGAGAGTTGTAAGGGCAGAGTCCTAGTGTATATTTAAGGCCAAAATAGATTCTTGATCAGTAGGGGAAGGAAGGGTTACAGAGTAAAGGTTGGAAAGTGAATGTGCGGAATATTGGATCAGTCATGATCCTGTTGAATGGCAGAGCAGGCTTGAGGGGTCAAATGCTATTCCTATTTCTTATGCTGTTATGAATTTCAGTATGGACAATAAAGTGAAATTGAAGTATAATGTTCCCCCATTTTGGCGGCACGGTGGCTCAGTGGCTAGCACTGCTGCATCACAGCGCCAGTGACCCGGGTTCGATTCCACCCTTGGGTGACTGTCTGTGTGGAGTTTGCACATTCTCCACGTGTCTGCGTGGGTTTCCTCCGGGTGCTCTGGTTTCCTCCCAAAGTCCAAAGATGTGCGGGTTTTGTGGATTGGCCATGCTAAATTGCCCATTGTGCCCAGGCATCTTTAGGGTAGGTGAGTTAGACATGGGGAAATCAGGGGTAGGGGAATGGGTCTGGGTGGGATGCTCTTCGGAGGGGCGGTGTGGACTTGTTGGGCCGAATGGCCTCTTTCCATCTAGGCTTAGGTCTTCTTCTTTTCTTTCTCCTTGGCTGTCCTTTTATTATCTGCTCTCACTCTCTGCCTATCTCTTCACCACCCCCACCCCGCCACAGACCAATCTCAGCATCCATGTACTATTGGGATCCAATTGTTCCTCTTTTTTTTTTCCTTGATGTTCTGTATTATGACTCGCCCTTCGGGAGAATCGGATTCTATTCTATGATCTTAATTAATTTATATCATTAAAAGTCCTTTTTAAGATTTTGAAAAAACTCTACATTTCTTGGCCTTTTTGAAAAATAAGCAAATTTTCTTTACAGCACTGCTTATTGCTCAAAACACCTTCGTGAATGGTTTAAGGCTGACCACCTTTTGAATAGAAGAGAGTTGTACACTGAGTCTGAGATAACAAGGTGTAGAGCTGGATGAACACAGCAGGCCAAGCAGCATCAGAGGTGCAGGAAAGCTGATGTTTCGGGCCTAGACCTTCACTGAGTCTAATGCTTTTGGTAGTTTTCTTGAATCAATTACTGCAAATTAAACTGTGTGTCTTTGTTTAAAGCAAAATACTGTGAATTGTGGAAATTTGAAATAACAACAGAAAATACTGAGATATTCTTCACTTCCTTGCAAACCATATTGTACTCAGTGTTAATTATGTTTTTGTCTCCTCACATGGTGCCAGATCGGCTGAATTTCTCCAGCATTTTCTATTTTTACGTGTGCATGTCTTGGAACCTGGTTCTACACGTTTGACTGGCTGTTTTTTTGTAAAGACCAAAGCAATGGAAAGCTGGAGCGAAACTTGGAAATAGGACTTTAACATCTTTGGCACACTGTAAACATTAGTTTTTGAGTAACATTATAGCACAGTGTGCCACTGGTATGATGAGATGTAAGGAAGCTGTTTGAGAAAACAGCGCAATGCTAATTGTTGTGTGTTTACTTATTTTTCAAGCAACTTAATATATCAAGGACTTAAATTGTATTGCATTTGTTTCCTTTTTAATCAGGATTTGCCCAAAGTCGAAGAAGTAAATATTGTTCTTCCTGAAGAAGTGAAAAAGGAGCCCATTGGGATTGTCTCCAGTATCATTGACCAATTGGGTATGTAAAGCATGTATTGCTAAACTGAAACAATATGTAATTCTTTACAGTGATGCATAATGTGTCATTTGGTTTTCTTTTAGATGACTTTTACATTTAACAGTCAACCGAGTCTAACATTCACCAAGCAGACTGCCTTTTATCATGCCCAGTGAACAGTACAAATACCTTTTCTGTCTTTTAGAGACCAGTGAAATCTGGACTGAGCAAATAAGTGTTCAGTGGGTACTTTTTAAAGTGGGGAAAGCCAAGACTGGCAACAAAAAATATTGATTTCTCTTCATTATTCCCAATGTGGCCTGTGATAACGTTCTGTCCCAACACGTTGGAGATGTTGACATCAAGGGAAGTTTCTTGTTAAATTCCTAACTTGGGTTTATCTATGGAAGTGTGTACTCTTAATTACTGCTGCAAGCAGTCACCAGCATCACAGCGCTGCCATTGTCATCATGTATTATTTGTCATGCAAGTGAAATGGAGACCTGCCACCGCACGCTTCCATCTGGGCTTAGGTCTTCTTCTTCTCTTCTCTTTCTCCCTGACTGTCCTTTTCTTTCACTCTCTGCCTCTCTCTTCACCACCCTCCCCGCCCCCGACCAATCTCAGCATCCATGTACTATTGGGATCCAGTTGTTCCTCTTTTTTTTCCCCTTGATGTTCTGCATTATGTAGCAAGCCTGATTTCTTCATTGTCTTGTTGAATCATCCTTGTAGTTTTGGCAATGTTTCTGCAATCGGAACTAATACATTGTTTAATTTTCATTTCCATACTTCCATTTTCTGCTATCATTTTCTCCAAGTCTTCCCTTACAATCTTTACATATTCCCCTGGTTCTTTCCCATAGACTTAGACCAATAGGCCATTTGGTCTTTGCTGTACTAATATTAATATCCCCTGTTCTTCCACTACTTTTCTGCAGTTCTACAGACACTCAGTCACGTTCTCATCATCCCCACCATATCCCTGAATGTCATCTGCAAACATCATTGACTGTGACGTTTTCTGTCTCACTTGTTAAGATAGGATATCTGTGACAATCAGGAAGACGATGTGGCTTGGTGCTAATCCTTGATGCAGTCCAACTTTGAAACTCTAATTTTCCTGATGCTAAAGCTTGTTCTTGGCTGTCACTCCTTTTATATAAGCTGTAATAGTCATACATACTTCTCTCAGACTCCATAAATTCTACCACATTACCAGACATCCTTCCTAGCTACTGGTCATGTACCTTCTCCAGATGGATGAATACAATTTTCATGATGCGTTCAGCTTTCCTGATATTTTTGCATCATTTGTCACAATAATAATGCTGTTTTGGAAGTGATAGGTCGCGCAAAATACAAAAAGTTAATTTGCATTAACTTTTTCTTCAGTTTTATTTGTGTACGCTGAGAGTAAATATTAATGCATTTTTAAACCAGACAAAAGTTAACAGGAACCGCGATCAATTTTTTTAATTTAGGAAAACTGGCATCTATTTATTCAGGGAAAATCATATTTAACTAAATTGGTAAGAGTTTTTTGATGAAATAGTAGTGTTGATGAGAATCTTGCAGTGAATGAAGTGGACGTAAATTTTCAAAAGGCATTTGTTATGGACAGGAATGAGACACTTTGAATCCCTGTATTTCCTTGCCTTCTTTTCGTAAGCAGCATTGTTTAATTTTGAAAGACTGATACATTTTTATGAAGTCAATTTTTTTTAAAGTGATGCACAGCAGACACTTTGAGATTTAAACTGGGAATATTAATTATTTGTCAATGTCAATTGTAGAGTGATCTTGAGTGACTTTTTCATAAACAAGCACACGCAGGCACACAGACATAGTTTTAAAAAAAAGTCTGTGAATATTAAAACTAAATGGTTTAATATTCAGTTCACTTGAAGATCAGAATCCAAATGCCTAGAGTCAGCAGTTGTAGGATTTGTTTGGAATTGGTGATAATGCAACAAAATAGAGCCATGGTTCCTAATAAGATTAGTGGATAGGATCATTTGACTTTTACAGGTTATGATGCTCCACTTGAGAAAGTGTGCTGATTGTTGAGCCTCCCTACTCCTGGGTTCATCATAAAAGCCGATGATTTAATCAAAGTAACCAAATTCCCCAGTTCACTTGCCAGATGAATCAGGTTCATCGTAAACGCTAAGCAGGTTGCTGTACGAAACAAGAACTGCTAGTTATTACAAATAAATGAATTCTAATCACAAGAACTACTATTTATTACAAATAAATGAATTCTAATCACAATTAAGCAGCTATGGCTGCCCTAGTTAAAACTCTTAACCCCTTTAAAACTGCTGCACACCCAGGTAGACAAAAACAAACAAAAAACATTGCTGGTCTGGGTATAGGGAAAAAAAAACTGAGAAGCTCAGCTCAGTAGCACCAGGGCTGATCAGATGGGAAGCAAAAAGATCAAGTTCTTCTGTTTTTTTCCATATTCTTTCACTTTGAAGGAAGCAGAGGATAATTGTACAGAAAGTAACTTTTTTTTTCAGGCTTAAGGTATTTTTACTGCAAAGTGATAGAGACACAGAACCTTTCCTTCCAGCAATCCACTCTGTTGTAAATTCCAAGCTATTCAGCTGCCCAGGAGCCAGTCCGAGTTGTTGTCAGACTGATGACATCTGGCATCCACAACAAGTTGTATTCGCACAGACTGGTCGTTGATCAGTGTCGAGCTGTATCTCACTGACCATAACCAAATGGATTCAAAATGGTGGATGGGAGTGCATTGTGCTTGTAAGAGCTGCTCCCCTTTTTCTGGAGCTGATTTTGTCATCTTTTTTAACAGTAATTACTCTTTTATAAACTATTACTTTGTTTTTGGAACCTTGAAAAAGAATCAAAACAACGATACTTTAATTGGAAGAAAAGAGAGAGCCGGAGACCGCATGGGTGGTTGATCAGAAGAACTGCTCTCGAGTTCAGAGACAGACCAGCAGTGAACTTTCACAGCTGACTGGCTGTAAAGGTACAAGCATCTGTGAACATCACAGTTCGGTCCAAGATAAATTAACAAACGGTGAAATTCATAGGTTGGAGAGACCTCATTGTTAGAACTACTTATAGGTGGGGATCAGCTAAGTGTTTTCTTTAAGTCTTATAAAACATAAATCTTCAGCTATTTTTCTTTTGTGAATGTACAATACTGAGTAGGGTGAGGGTTTTTAAAACATGTTTTATTGCGATCCCTGTCTTGATTAATTTTTTTTAAAAGGTATGAAACGTAGGTACTAAATTATCCTGGAGGAGTGTTTTTAGAACAGTAAGACTGTGTGCTATTTTCTGGCACTGTAGATTGTAAAGGTGAGGAGATGGCTGTTAGTGATGTGCACTTCCTGTCGGATGTGGGAGATTAGGGAGAATTTCAATATTGCTGATTATGTTTGCAGTAATTGTGTTTGGTTGTAAATCCTTCAGATCAAATAGATCAGTTTGAGCAGCAGTTAGAGGCAATGAGAAATTTACAGGGGATCCAAAGAGGTAGTGAGAAAGGAGATAAGCCTGAGGCTGGTAAGGTTGAGAAAAGAAGCCAGTCAAAATAGTCAAGGCAGGCAGGAGCAAGGCAGAGAATGAGGTAAGACTGATAAAATAAACCGCATTTATTTCAGTGCAAGAGGCCTAACAGGTAAGGCAGATGAACTCGGGGCACGTTTGGGAACATGGGACTGGGATATCATAGCGATTACAGAAATGTGGCTTAGGGATGGCAGCTTAATGTACCAGGGTATAGATGCTATGGAAAGAATAGAAAGGAGAGGGAGAGGAGTGGCGTTTTGGTTAGGCATAACATTACAGCTGTACTTGAGGAGGATATTCCGAGGAGATGAAGGAAATGAGAAATAAGAAAGGGATGATTACTTTATTGGACTGTACTATTGGCGCGCACCCCCTCTCCTCTCCTCTTCCCCCCCCCCCCCCACCACCACCACCACCACCAGTGTCAGTGGGAATTTGAGAAGCCAACTTGTAAGAAAATCTGTTATCTGTAAGAATAGTAGGATGGTAGTGATAGGGGATTTTAACTTTCCAAACATAGACTGGGACTGCCATTGTGTTAAGGGCTTGGATGGAGAGGAACTTAGGTGTACTAGAAAATTTTCTTACTCATTATGTGGATGTACCTAATAGAGAAAGAATAAAACTTAATCTTCTTTTGGGAAATAAAGCAGCTCAGATGACTTAGGTGTCAGTTGAGGAGCACTTTGGGGCCAGTGATCATAATTCTATTAGTTTTAAAATAGTTATGGAAAAGGATTCTGGGTAATCCAAGATGGAGGATGGGAAAAAAATTGTTTTTTGAGGTATTTTCAGTTTTGGAGCTGATTTCTTTGAAATCTAGGAGCAATAATTACTGTCCTATTGCTATTGCATTGTTTTGGAACTTGGGGGGGAAAAATGGAGTTCAAAACATTGGCACTTTGCAAAGGAGGAAAAGAGACAAAAGCAGTGACCATGTGGGAAAAAGGAATAATACAGCACAGGAACAGGCCCTTCACTTACAGGATCCGTATCCCTCCAATCCTTTCCTATTCATGTATTCGTCCTGGCGTTTCTTGAATGCTGCTATTGTGTCTGTTTCCACCACCACCTCTGGCAGTGCGTTCCAGGCATTTTACCACCCTTTGTGTGAAAAACTTGCCTTGCACATTTCTTTTAAACTTCCCCTTCCCTGTCCCCTTCAACCTGACTCCTCTACCCTGCGGAAAAAGCCTCATACTTTCCACTCTGTCCATGCCATTCACAATCTTTTAAACTTCTATCACGTCGCCCCTCAACCTTCTGCGTTCTAGTGAAAACAAATCCAGTCTATCCAACCTTTCTTTGTAGCTGAAATCCCCACACCAGGTAACATCCTGGTAAACCTTTACTGTATCCTCTCCAAAGCATCCAAATTGTTCTGGTTGTGTGGTGACCAGAACTGTACGCAATATTCCAAGTGTGGTCTAACTAAAGTTCTATAAAGCTGCAGCGTAGCTTCTTTATCCATA